TTTGTCACAGTACCAGTCTACCATGCCCGCTGGATTTTCTTCCTAGCTTCTAGCAGATCCCTGAATAAAAAACTTACTACAAAAAATAAACACCATTATCACCATTAAAATCTATGCAAAAAGATAGCAAAACGCAGATTTATTACGTGCCTCCATTACAAATGTACTTACTTCTTGCTCAGCTGAGAATAAATTGGAACGCACCATTGGCAATCTAAATGATTAACACTACATTAAAAAGCAATTCAACTCGGCAATCACACGCTATCAATTTCAGTAACTGTTGGGATTTGGTTTTTTCTAACAAAAAATACTTATTTTAAAAAGCCCTGAACCACTTGACACGTCTCATCACTGAACACCCATGCCCCAATACCGCAGGGCAGCTTTCCAGTACAAAGGCCATCGGTCCTCCAGTGCTTAGTAGCCCATATAGCCATATGCACATCCCCTTCTTCGGAGCGGCTATACGGTCCTTTTCCCCTACAGGGCTGGGTTTACGACATTACACCTATGTACCACCACTTGACATTATCCCCCCAGCCTAAAGTGGCCGTTATTAGTGGCGCCTGCTGCGTACGGTGGTAACATGACAGACGTTTGGCTCCCTCGGCGTTCACGTCACAGAAATTCAACTTTTGTTTCTAGCAAATTTTAGTCTTTTCCAGTTAAACACCCCCTCCTAAACACCAACTTGATAGAGACCTATCAAGAGCTGTGGAAAGAAGCACTGTTCAGTGAAGGGGCAAATCAAGAATCATGCTGGAACCTACAAGTAACGATAGGTATGTAAACGTACCTATGCTCACGCGAAATGTGGAACACAAGCAAGAACCGGCAAATAAATATAAAGATATTTAAACTAAAAAAAACCCCCCACCATATAAAAACGGGCTATGCTATCATATTTAACACTCCAACAGCTACAGCTTGAAATAGCAATTTCAATTTAAGAAAAAAAAATCACCTTTGCAAATTTACAGTTGCTTTAGATTGCTTTTAAAACAGAGTGAAGGACACCGAGAGTCCATTTGACCAGCTAACAATGGATCGAACTGGACCTCAGTGTTCTGTTTCCATAGGCAGAGATTTGACATTCAGATGCTGTATCGGCCATATAAATTTAACCGTCTGCAGAAACCAAAGCTCTCTTATTTGTCTCATCCCATTCCTTCATCCAGCTACTACAGCGCTCTGACTCTCAAGGCAAGTACCTGCCAATTTGCTTCAATGCCAGTCTCTTCATATTCTTGGTGCAGATAACGTACGAGAATGCTAACGGCGTATGGGACCGGATTACCTCAACTGAAAGCAGCAGCGAGATTTTCTCCATATATATGAGCTGATCACCTTAGTTACCCTTTGAAGTTAGTGAGGAGGAATACCCGCTTCAAGCAGGTCATGCCTCACATCCTAAAGATGCTTTCTTTAGATGTATCACGTTACAGATTACCTGTTGGGTTTTTTTTTTTCCCCAGTGGCTATACAGAGGAACTAGGATGAATAGCTCAGATGCAGGCATCTCAAATACAAAGGAAACACGCTCCCAGCGAATAGGCCCAATATTTTTAACAAACCATTCAAAAGTATTGAAGATTTTTATTTCTGAGTGCTCATAAACACACACACAACCCACATCTCTAAACTTTAAAACACAAGTTTGAAATTAAATAACAGGAATAAACATGTACATGGCATTGGTCTAAACAGGAGAGAAACATAAAATTAGGGAACTCCCTTGGTAGTTTTTGGTGAAAGGAGACTGTCACCCATAGCAGTCATCGTGAATATTTTTCTGACTCCGTTCTGTGCATTAAATCATTCTGTATTTCTCTCCTCAGAACTGTACTTGAATAAGCATTCTTTGAAAAAAATATGTATCCAGGTTTCTTAGTTTCACTACAGAATCGAGCAGGCCAGCTGATAAGCAGGAAACTTTAATCTTCTGTAATTAGCAACGGTGGAAAGGTAACATGGGGAAAAAATCCAGCACGCTGGAAAGACAGACAACATCTATGTACAAACCCACTTTGTCTTCACCTTTCTCTCTTCCAGGTTGTGTGTTCTGTACTATTCCCGGAGTCAGTTATGAGGTATGAAAAAACAAGCAAAAAGTTAACATTATAACCATTTTAATAAAACTCACTGTATTATTTGCACTCTCAAAATATCTCTGAAAATAAAGTAAAAAAATATTTAGCATTCTTGAAAGTCTTGAAGAATTTTTATTAAAAAAGCAGTCTTGTTTGTTGCTTCTTTTGAACCCAATTCTGCCTCAACTTTATGCTCAGACATAAGCGTATCCTTCTTATTACCATCATACAAGCAATCACAATGAACTTCTGTAGCACTGAAAATGATAAAAAACAAATAAACCCTCTCAAAAATATATACAAGCAGCCAGAAAACTAACCAAGCAGAAATTATGTTGTCTGTATTGAAGAGTAAACAGCATTTTTAAATACCAACAAAATATTCCATCTAAGACTCTTGAGTAGAAGGACAAACTAACTTCCACAGAAGAATTCCTACAACAACTTTGGTTTATAATGACCTAGAGGGAATTCACACCCCGTACATAATATTGATCTGGTGGATTTCTGTAAAGCTAATACACCAGGCAACAGGGAAAACTATACACGTGAACTTCATGATGAGAATAATAATTTAAACTCAGTATGTCGTATTGCAAATATACAGAAAAAAAACTGATTATATTAAACACATTTATCTTCTGCTATAAAGTAGCTCATCCGGCCAGATCCCAACTCTTTAATACCTCATGACTGAAGTAGCTAAGTGTTCTCTGTATCTGATGAATAACAGGCTATGTCTGGAAAGCCTTCCAAGTCGCTGTTTGTCGTGAAAGGTGTATTTATGATGTATCAGATATAAAAGTTGGTACTGACTAAACTATGCTGGTTACCAGAAGATGACTAGCCATACTGGTGTAGCGTTCTGCTGAATCAGTACAGATACTTATCAAAGAGCATATATCCTGCAAATATATTCAGAAACTAGTTTCTGAAAATTCTGTCCAGAAACAAGAAGAAATGGACACAATTGCATCAACTTAGTACCTTATATGAACTAACCAGTCCTGCTGAGAAACAGGCTGTGTTCGCAGGAGAGGAGCAATGCACTAACACAAATACATGCCTCTGGTACCTCAACTAAAACCGGTAGGGCAACATACTATATAATGTAGGCATATTAATTCATTGGAAGCCAAATTTGCAGACAGCAACACACTGCCGCAGCCGTGACGGTGAGATTTACAGTTAGTCTGGCAAGAATATTACATTAAAGTAGCTGCGCTACTGGTAGTACCCCAACTTGTTTTGTCAGAGGATGCTTTGGTAGCTCTGCAGTATCGCAATGTGCTCCGTAGACACACTTGGTTCTTGAAACAACTCTCATTTCCAAGCAAATTTATAATGTAAAAGCAGTCTATTGTATGTTCAAAACATAGTATAGATGTAAAATGGTTACATGGTGGTCAGATCGCAAGGTCACGCGAAATTCTGTCCTATGGCAGGCACTGCCCTGACACTTTAAGTGGTTCCACACATAGATGAGTTGTGTATGGAGAACATTACACAATCTCCTAGACAATAACCATTGGACAAATTAGGAAAGCTGCAAATACCGCACTGATCAATTTCTGCCTGGGGGACATGGTGGGAAAGAATAAAGGAATGTGAAAAGAGAGGTAAAGTTCCTCAGTTTCCACATCCAATAGCAATCTTCCAAAAACAACAAACCAACAAAAAACCCAACCAATAAATAGACATGTGACTAAGTCCTGAAGCAGGAGTGTAAATATTAGCACAAGACAAACAACTCTGGACAGCCAGAGTTTAAACACATATTAAAGCATAGCACATTTTGAAAAGCGACACTGTATGAATGTATACCATCTCCAAAATCATCCAACATCAATCAGTTTATGTGTTAAGAGCTATGCTTATTTAACTGCCACTTTAGCAAGCACGAGTCACAGGAGACAAAGGTGAAGCTGAGTTCCTTCCAGTTAATACATCGACAGCCAAGGTCAGGTGCTCTGCCCAGTTACTTTTTCACAGAAATTCTCTCCTTATTCACCAACAATATAGGAGCTGAAAGGTGTAATGTCCTTAACCAGAAATGACTGAAGTGCCTGAGAACACAGAAATTGGCTCCTGCAGATGCTATACTGTGTTTAGACCACTGATCTGCCACAGGAGCTAAAGCAATTCTAACTTGTTGCGCAAGTTGTCTGTGCTAGATGAGGCTGCCTGCAAGAACAGAAACTCTGACTCCTCTGTTTCCTCACACTTCTTTTCCCTTTCCTGCTTGCTAAAATCTTTGCCTTAATCTTAAGAGTATTTTCTCCACTCAAGCATACCTCAGCAGTACACTGTCTGACAAATATTTATGGTCAAATCCTTGTCCTCACTTACTCCTGTACAAATCCGACACTTCACAGGGTGGAGCCACAAACAAGAACAAGGGAATAACCCAAATTACATGAGTAGACTGATGTGCTGGAGAGAATCCATTCTTCCACTGGCTCTGCAGGACTGGCAGTAGAAGGCAGTAATAAAACCGAAGTGGACAGATATTGTTCATACTTGAAAAGAACGGGATTTAAACAGGAAATTGCACTTTTTAAAGAATCGCTTTCAGAAATAAAACTGCCTTCTGATATTCATCTTGCTACTAAAAAGGCAGATGAAGATATCAAATTACAAGTGAAAGCTGTGAAATTCCATCTGCATTGCTTTCATATACCTATAAAAATGTTCTAAGGGACTTTAAAAGCAGTTCAATAGTGAAAATAAAACGATCCCTCAAGCCGAAATGTTAGGATCTGTAGGAGGGCATAATTGGACAGTCAAGTGTGTGGTGCTGGTGGTGTTACTGTTTTTGAGAAATAATGACCGAATCCTTTACGTGGTCAAAAGTACCCATGTAACAGTTATTGTAAACAGCATGCACGGACAACCTGAAAAGAAACATCAGGCACCGCCTTTCTTTTGCAATTGCTCCAGTTTTCTTCTTAAGAGGTTGTAGTTTTCCTTGGTCCCCGGTGCCATAGGATCAAGCTTCAGAGAGACTTCATAGTGCTTCTTTGCCAAGTCAAGATTTCCCCAGCGATGATAAAGCACAGCTGGAACATCAATGAGGAATTTCATTAGCAATATTGTTGAATAACGTGCAATCTTGCCAATCACTTGGAAAACAACATTAAAGCATTTGTTTTCAGTGAGGGTCTGTCGCTGGCTGGTGGCACAGTAGCTGCTTGTTCTGTTGCCAAATGCAGGAGCAAAGCCTGGGAGCAGAACTGGCATGGGAATGACGAAGGAATGAATTACATTGCAGCCATAAGTGGCAGCTCTTATCTGGTGAGCTCATTGCGGGTTACAAGCATAGCATAAATGAACCAATTTGCAGACACTGAAGTGCAGCTACCTCTGGGCTGGATTGTGCAGCCCTCTTGATCTGTCATATCGTGCGACAGCTTTTCTGGTTTAGTACCCTGTTCTTCTGGCTGGCAGTTTTTCCAGAAGTTAACATAGAAATCTGCCCAGCAAGAAGGCGGCTCAAAAGATTGCTTTTTCTTTTTAAATACAATGAATATGAAGCAAACAAACAATACAGCTGATAAGAGTTAGAAAGGCTCTTACCCAAATTACCATGATAACTGGCAGCATTTGGATTGGCTTTAATTGCCTTGAGGAACAAAGCTTCAGATTCCTAAATAATTTAGAAGAACAAGTCAATGAGACAGGCTACTTTTGTAATAGATATAACAACACAGAATTTACCCACGATTGTAATTAAAAACCCTCCCAAACTATGCGGTATCTATAAGTTACGACTATATGTATATTCTAAGCCTGTGTGATTCTGTAGCTCAGGTGGCTACAGCTTCCAGAAAATAGCAATAATGCTACAAATAAGTGTCATGCTTTCACAGGTTGCTGTTATTTTAGCAGAGAGCTATTAAGCATTAGTGAAGTTTGCGAAGTAGTTTACTTATTTTTTTTCCTAGTTATAATATTTTCAAACATTACCTACTGTAGTTTTCCCTACTTATTCAATCAAGCTAAGGATAATGTCATTCAGTATCTGAGCGAACAGCTTTTAGACACCTTTCCCTTTACAATAGTTTTTAGCATTTAAAATGGGGGTATTCGAGTAAACCCCTTTCAAACAGATGTTTCAACATGGGTCTCAATGAAGAGTAGCTGAGTGCCTGCTACTTAAAAAATCAAGCCAACTGAAATATTCCTCACATCTCCTCGTGTTATCTTTTCCGTATTCCCACTCACAGTGTGCTCTTACGACTGTTGATATCTGACTACTTCTTAGGAAAGCTGAGCTCCCTCACCAAATATTCAGAGAACAATTTACCGCTAAATTTATTCTCCAATTCAAACATTTTTATTTTCCCAAACTAGCTGCTAATGTAGATACTTTTGTTCCAGAGCATATTTCCTGCCAAAGTTTAAAAAGATACACCCCCCCAATCCAAATGAAGCATATTTACTGGCTTGTATGCAAGCGCAGATATTTTAGAGAGCGAATTTTAGGTAGATTTCTATGCTGTGCTGTGTTTTAGGGGAAGTTGCCCATTTGGTTTCAATGCAAACGGCCTGAAGATAAAAACACATCAGTGTGGTAGGCTTCCATACGAATGCACATACTTGCTGTCTGAGGTATGTGAGAACAATGATCTGGGCAAAAGGCCTTTCCTTTGTGCTAACCTTTTATTACTTATATCCACAAAGCACAACACAGGCTCTACTGAAAAAGAAAACCTGTCAGCCAGATTTTTGGTTCCACCATCTTCTCATGTGAAGCATGAAATAAGGCTCTCTAAGGGTCCCTCAGGGGAAAGAAATTTCTGATGTCAAGATTGAGTCAATCAACTTTGAGTGACTTAAGAGCTTCCCAGTATGTCCAAATTCAAATCCAAACTACATGCTCCTTTCAGAGCATTCCTTCGCACACCTGATGCTGCCACTCTGAAGCCAAGAGAGCCCGATGCAGAAAGCGCCTTCATCTTCTCAGGTCAAGGAAATTACAAACCCTAGGGTTCTTGACAAATCCTTTTGTAGGACATCCTGTTTCAGGAAAAGGAATACTTGGATAGGAGTGAACGAGGGAACCAGATGTCTGGAAATTTAGGGAGTATGTGACTCCATAGCGCAAGTTTTAGCATTGCTTTTCCCTGGCATAAGCAGCAGCCCCAGCATTCTCATACTCGGACTATTAATGTTCCTGGATGCACTGGTCTCTTTGAAACCCACACTATTTAGTGTCTTCATTAATGTTTTGAATGATGGGACTGAACGCACTTCCAAAAACTTTACAGACAGCACCTAAGAGGAGGGAGTAGTCAATACACTGGAGGGGAGAGCTGCTATTCAGAGGGACCTGGACAGGACAGAGAAATGGACTAGCAGGAATCACAGAATGGTTGAGGTTGGAATGGACCTCTGGATGTCATCTGGTCCAACCTCCCCGCTCAAGCAGGGCCAGCTGCCCAGGACCACATCCAGGCAGCATCTCCAAGACTCCGCAACCTCTCTGGGTAGCCTGTGCCAGTGTTCAGTCAGAATCACAGTAAAAAAGCATTTCCTGATGTTCAGAGGGAATAGCCCATGTTTTGGTTTGCACCCATTGTTTCTTGTACTGTCATGCAGCACCACTGAAAAGAGCCTGGCTCCATCCTCTTTGCACCTTCAGGTATTTATATACATTGAGATTTTCCCCGAGACTTCTCTTCTCCAGGCTAAACAGTCCCAGTTCTCTCAACCTTTCCCCATAGGGAAGATGTGCCAGTGCTTTCATCATCTTCATGGCCCTTTGCTGGACTCTCTCCAGTATGTCCATGGCTCTCTGGAACTGGACACAGGACTCCAGGTGTGGTCTCACCAGTAGAGAGGATCACCTCCTTCAACCTGCTGTCAACACTCCTAACACAGCCCAGGATATCATTAGCTGCCTTTGCCACATGGGTACACTGCTGGCTCATTTGAATTGATCTGGTGTCCACCAGGACCCTCAGGTGCTCTTCTGCAAAGCTACTTTCCAGCTGGGTGGCCTTCAGCATGCACTGTGCCTGGGGTTGTTCCTCTCCAGCTGCAAGCCTTTGTACTTTCCCTTGTTGAACTGCATGAGTCTCCTACCAGCCCATTTCTCCAGCCTGTTTAGATCCCTCTGGACAGCAGCATGACCCTCTGGCATATCAGCCACTCCTCCCAGTTTTGTGCCATCTGCAGACTTGCTGAAGGTGCAGTCTGCCCCATCATCCAGATCAATAATGAAGATGTCGCGCAGGATTGGACTGCAGGAATTTACAAAAGTAAATGCAAAGTCCTGTATCTGGGATGGGATAACCTCATGCAGAAGTACAGGCTGGGGGGCAACTGTCTAGGAAAGCAGCTCTACAGAAATGGATCTGGTAGGCCTGGTAGACAGCAAATTGATTAAAGCCATCAGCATACCCTCACAGCAAAGATAACCAACCGCATCCTGACCTGTATTAAGTAGAAGTACAGCCAGCAGGTCCATTGAAGTAATCCTTCTCCTCTGTTTAGCACTTGTGAGACCATATCTAGGGTATGTGTTCAGGTTGGGGTTCTCCATTACAAAAAAGACATGGACATACTTTAAGTCCAGCAGACAGCCACCGAGATTATTGGGGGCTGCAGCACAAGACATACAAGGAGCAGCTGAAAGAACGGGATCTCTTCAGCCTTCAGAAGAGAAGATGAAGGGGAAACCTTATTGCTATCTACAAGTACCTGATCAGATTATAGAGAGAAGATGGAGACAGACTCTTCTGATAAGTCTGTGAGGCGGGATGAGACACAATGAATGCAAGCTGGCATACAGGACATTCCAATTAGATAAAAGGAAACTTTTTTTTTTTTCTTTACCATAAGGGTGGTCAAGCACTGGCAGATGCTGTCCAGAGAGGTTTTAGAATCTCCATCTGCAAAAGTGTTCAACTAGAGATGGCTCTAGCTTGGGTCAGGAGTTGAACTGGATGTCCTTTCCAGTCAAAATTACTCTATGATTCTAACTCAGTCACCTGAGAAACATACTAAGACTCAAACATTTGGCAAATCTAGTGGTGTTGCAAGATAACCTCCTCTTTTCATACAAACATCCAAGCCTAAAAATCAACAGTAGATTGTCACTTGAAAGCACGTAGTAGTCTGAAAGTCCCAGAAAACTATTTTTTTCCACTGCAAATTTTAGTATTTTGGTGTAACAAGTAAATCTCCGCTTTCTTCACTGGGCAGGTTAACAGGTCTAAGTAAATCTCTGCTTTCTTCACTGGGCAGGTTAATAGCAATCAAAATGAGAGATGTGCTGTCCAATTAATTCAGTTTTATGCCTAAAAATTGCCACCTACACAAAGGAGAAGCACCTAATGTATGGACTCATCCTTTCACTGCTGAAGCACGATGGGACAAGATGTGCAATGTGTTCCGAGAAAATTTAATGAAATAGATTCTCAGAGTTGGCTGCCATTACCATACATCTTCAGCTACATGCTGAAAACATTTTTATCACCACTGCTTTGCTCAGCAGCTAGTAGAAGTATACTGGCTGATTAAAGGCTATTTAAGGTGCATCATATTCATATTACTGTAGATATATGGAGTAAATATACATTCCAGTACATCCAGTGATATTTCAAATTGATCTATCTTGCCAAATCCCTAAGTGTTGCCAAGAAACTTGCACACTGCATATAGCAAAGGCTTTGGGTAAGCACACTGCATTCCATCTACTGCCAAGGCCACAGCACAAAATTGTAGTCTGGCTTTATTTCAAATACAGAAAATGCTGAATGGTTTTGATTTATTGTACTTTTTACAGAAAAAGCATAGATGTATACATAACAAAAATACAGCATTTATATTTTCAAAGAACTAAAGATAGCTTGGTTCTTCATCCATTGTGACAAGAACAACCGTTTAAAGGAGAACTCTAACTTGGTATCACAGATGTTAATTAAAAAACAAAACAAAACCACCAAAACAACTCATCCTTGATGTGCTTTTGTTTCTGGAACAATAAATCATTCATGAGTAGATACGAACAGAAATCATAAAGGGTTGGGGTTTTTTTTGGTCACTTCGGAAAACCATCTTCTGCTGAAAATCAAAGTGCATTTGAAACTGAAGGAGAATGTTGTGTGCTTATTGGAAGGACATATCTCATAATGTAGTAAATCCTTTTTGAATCAACATCTTTTTAAAATAAGAGATAACAAAAAAACCCCAGAACAAATCTTACTTTATGGCAACAGAGCCAATACAGTAACAACTTTTATACAGACACATAACAAGTAACCTAATAAACAAAATGCCTGAGGTTATACAACACATCAGACACAGCCAGGCAGCCCTCTAAAAATTACCTCCATCACCTTGACAGTCTCCATCCCCCCCTTCTCCCTTCCCATCCTGAACACTCAATAAAAATCCTTAAAGAGCCATCCACTTCTCTCTGTTTTTACATGGTGAGGGGGTAGACAAGAAATCTCTATCTTCCATGCTTTTTATTGTCATTTAGCATTCTCCCATTTAAAAAAACCTGTATCTCCTCTTTCCAGGTGATGCAAAATACAGCTGCTGAGATCATAACCTTTTCTAAGTGAGTCCACTTTCCAATTTCCTTAATTTGCTCTTCCCATTATAACCCATCAGTTTCAAGATACTAGTTAAGTTTTTTGCTCTATGCAAACCTACTACTCCATATTGAACTATTAAAACACTCACTGGCTCCCTGCTTTCTTCCCTGGGCTTCACTGCTCCTTTTGCTTTATTCAGGATGCTGACTTCAAGTCAGGTTCATTTTCTGATACTATCATTTCTACTTTGTCTCCAACATATTCCCCTGCAGCATAATGACCTTTCAGAGCTAGCAATCAAAGTAAGTACCTCCTTTTTTGTTTTTTTTTTTTTTTTTAAATCCACTAAGACAGACTTGTTTCTCCTATACCCAGAAAAGTTTTCTAGCTTGTTTTCAACTTACTTTTTCCTACTTATTTCACTATAAATGCTCTTTATTCTGTCATGCTGCATACTTTTCTTGATGAATAACTATACAATCCTCTATTCTTTCACAGTCATGACTCACCAAAATAATCCTAGCAATTACCTCCTCCATAATCTCATCCCTTATACATTCTGGATGTTAATTTGTATCCTTCTGGAGCTTTGTTAAAGTCACCTAAAATATATATTTTTATAACAGTCTCAGGTGGAAAGAGAAAAGAAAGAGCGTGTACAGAAAAAAACCCAGCCAGTCTAGCGAAACAGTAACGGCGGGGGGTCTAACAGCATCACCAACACAAAAAAAGACAAGTGCTGCGTTGTCACAGGCCCTGGCTTCACATGTGGATAGGTTATGACTCCACAGCTGAACAGGTCTGTAGAAATTTAAGTGGACACAGTAACTGGTGGAAAAATGTATCTATTCTGAGAAGTTCAACATCATAAAATCTTCTTACTTTGCATATACTGAAGGATGTTCCTTCAGTACTGCTATTTATCACTATCAAAAAGCCATCAACCCCCCCAAAGGCCACAGTTCAGTAAAGGATGTTTTCCTGAGGAATACCAAAAACTTCCTTGATTATTAATTTGTCCCTATCACATACATCAGTGACTATGGAGTCAATTAAAGCAACTAAACATATTAACTATATATGATTTACTCTCTATCAGCTCATACATTCCTTTTGGAAAATAATTCATTCTCTCATCAGTTCCATTACATTTACTACTTGTAAATGTAAGTAGCTAATGCTGAGGTACCACTCACAGGCTGGTCCACTGCATCCAAGAGAAAGTTCAATACATTGCTCAATGTATGGACTTTTTCTTCATAATATTCTGGCATTACCCAGGTAGCCTATCCTCGGTCTGTGATTAGCAAGTCTGTAATATCTGTATTTTAGATAACATCTGAGGCAAAGAGGCTAGAATTTGTATCAGGTAACGGTAAACCTTGCTTCTTTTACGTACAGAAAGCCCAAGAACTAACGTATCACATCTAATTTTAGTTGCTGAACCCAGGCCTCTAAATCAGAGCAGGCTCTCTCTGTTGGCAGTGAAGCAATACAAGACCCTAACTGCCCTCTAGTGTGCTGAAGAGCCTATTTCTCTCCACTGACCATCGACATAGTTTAGGGCAGCAATGTTCCTAACACAGGCATCTAAAATAAGGTGGGATGAACTTAGGCCAGAATCACACAGCAATACTGTGAGAGATACAGGCATTGAAACCCGATTATTTAAGTCATGGTCCACAATGACCTCCTCAAACAGCTTCTATAAAAATCTTACACATAGTTTAAACAGGGAGGGGGGTAGGAATCCAAACGCAAAACACTCAGAAAGTTTTAGTTACCTACCTTATATTTTTGCGATTTCCCCAGTACATTTGCCAATGAAAACATAAGGGAATGATCATTAGGTATTAATCCCAGGGCCTCTCTTCCAACTGCTTCTGCTTGAGCTAGGTTGCCTGGGAGCCCATGTAGTGGAAAAAGAGAAAGCATCTTTTAACACAGCCTTATTAGTTACTTTTCACGCTGCAAGCACGCATGTTGTATGAATAGCTGATTACACGCATTTTTAAAGAAAACCAGGTATCACACACACACACAAATGTACAGCCCTGCAGAATAAGAAAATAGAAAACCTCCATTTTGTTTTCAACAGACAACACTTTCAGAAGAACGACCAAGCACAGATTCAAGTATGCTCAAGTTTGGTTTAGAATACAAACATGCATGCACAATGATGACATTTCAAACAAGCATCAGAAATTCAATTTATGGGCTGGATTTCAAGTGCTGCTCTAAAACTAGTGAGTCAGAAGGTATTCTTATATTTATACAGAGTATCTTGATAGCCAAATAAGAGGCAGAAATCCTTTTAGATAAATACAGATAAAGCTTTAAGTTTTGCAAGACACTGAATTATTCATTAAAACATTCAAATGGGCTTATACCTGTGTTATCAAGCAGTATAATCATATTGTTCCAAGCCAAACTATGCTCTGGTTTCAGAACTGTAGCATTCCTCCATGCATTCAATGCATCTATATGGCGATTCAAATCTGCATACTAAAAAGAAAGAAAACTCCAGTAATTTCATCCTGATCTGTTTTACTTTCTTATCATGCACTAAGGAGTTGTTAATGTCTCATTCCATTCTGGTAGAACTTGTTTTTATAGACAAAAATAAGAAATGTAAAAAGAATACTAGGGTAGTATGGAAGACAGACTGCTATGTACTAATTTTACACTTTTACACTGCTTTTCTCTGGGAGCCAGGCTTGTTTTCAAATATGCACATACCAGTAGGATGGGGACGGAGGAAAACCAACATGCAATTTAGAAATCAACACAACAGGATAAGTAAATATTTAATAGAAATATTTCTAGTAATCTAAACATTGGTTTTGGCAGAGTTCTACTACCTAACCATTCTAATGACTGCAAACCAGTCTAATATTGAGAAATGATTAATACTATCTCTTCAACAAAAGAACACTATCTATATTTTTGTTTATATCTTTTTATATGAAAAAGTAGGACTACCAAAGTTGGTATGGAAGGAAGTACACTGGGAAAGCAATAAGAAAACTACTGAAAATATGAAGTCACCCTGAACTACAAATCAAGCAAACTGGAATAACTACCAGCATTTAACAGTACAGCAGAATTACATATATACACATACAGATTACTGTGATAGCTATCACTTATTCAAAAGCACTTACCAACCGCCCTAAATTGTAGTAACAATCTGGATATTTTTTCCTGTGTTTAATTGCTGTCCAGTAGCTTTGCTCTGCCTCTTCAAACCTTCTTAAACTGTTCTGTACTATTCCTAGATTCATCCATGCAGCAGCAAAATCAGGTCTGGGAAAATTGGGAAAAAAAAAAACCAAGAGAGAGGACAATTGAGCATTCGAAACACAAGATCCCACTGTATCATTTCTGCTCAGTTGGTGCAAAACACTGCTTAGTATTGTTCTAAACATACTGTATTTGTACAGCTAAGGACAGCAACTCCTCTGCTTCTTGGAGCTCATTTCTTTCTTTCAGAATATTTCCAAGGTTGTTCATGGCATGTACATATTTAGGATTCAACCTAAAATGTAAAATTTAAGAGATTATTATTATGTATGGGACACGTATTACCATATGCGAATTGCTAGCTTTGCAATGCTCCAGACCATGAAAATGGATACCTAAGCATTTTCTTCATGTTAAACATGAAAGCAATTTCAGGATAGTTCATTAAAGCAGCAAAATTCCTAATACCTTACAGCTTCTCTGTAGTATTTGATTGCAGCACTTTGATTTCCTTTGTCAGCCAGGTTTTTGCCAACATTGTAGTGCACCTGAAAACACAGATGAACATTCTACCAGATGCTATACAGTCAGGTATTTTGTGGAGCCAAGTTGGTAAAAATTCTTACTCCAAATAGATACAGTCAGTGCTAACATCATCCACTGCTGGCCTTTGTTGAAGGTGGACACTTAAGACTGGACAATACATACAACGAAGACAGCAAGATAAAAGCTGAGGAATAAGTTAATGAATCAGCTTATCTGTTCCAGATATTTAAGAAAGATTATTCACTTAATGATTTTATAAATGAGGTCAACACACTTTCCACAAGACTCTCTATATTGAGACTTCCTGCTCTTAATTTCATTTATTTGTCAGATAAGAGAAAGTCTGACTCAATCAAATCCACCATAGCAGAAGAAACACTACAGCAACGTAAATGCTGACTAAACTCAGCTTTCGCTATAGCATAAACAAGAATAAACTCAACATTAACAGAAAAACTAAGCTCCATATTTCAAAAACAAACAAAAAATAATAAGTACACACAATTGCTGTCCTGGGATAAAAATGCATCAAACAGCATTTCTGAAACAAAAATAATGTGAATGGCAACATGTTGGAGACCTTGCCTGTTAAAAAGTGGAGAATGAAGGAAGGATCTAGAGCTTTGAGATACAGCTACAGGGAAGATGACACATCATCTGAGCTCATGGCAAGGACTAGATAGGCATAAATATATTTCAGGACAGATCTGAGTTGGAAGAGGTCTCAAATCCTACTTTAAGATAAATCTTAGAAGACTACATTACCTGGTCAAAGGGAAGACTCAAGTTTAGAAATAACAGAAAAGTACTGTGAGTACTGACTCCTGCAAATAGGCTTCTCAGCAACCAGATCAGAACTCATTATTTAAAGTACCTTACTATTCGAAATCAAATTGTATATACTTCATCTAAAACAAACACACATTTTAATTTCTTCCATACTTTGAAAATCTAATTTAAATCTTTTCAAAAACACTATGCAGGAATTTCTTCAGATTAAAGTACAAAAATATAAGTTTGTAATGCATTTAGATAACTAATTCACCACCTCCATTCAGAAAAGGATTTTCTCTCATGTGTCCATTAAAGGAAAAGTCCTAATTGTATTTGGCACAATACCTGGGACCTATTGATCTAGTACAAACAATTATGTTTGAACCTAGTTGTTATGGTATTTAATTGTTGGAATTCCATCTCTATATGACTGTGACTATGCAGTAACACACCATTAACAAATAAAGTTAAGAACATTTTCCCTGCTTTCTAGAATGAGTGAAAAAGTAGTGTCACTGGTTTTACAGACAGCAAAGATGCTGTAAAGCTTACCAGGCATACACATAAGTAGCTCCTCAGGCTGTAAGATATAAAATAGCACACAAATTCAGCATCCCATAAAAGCAGATTTAGCACAGCTTCCAAGAAAAAAAAAAGTATCCAGGTACTTCCGTTGTACATTCATAAAAATATGACGAGGCCCATGCCAAAGAAACAAAAGAATGGTACATTTATATCAAGAGAGAGCCATTCATAAAGATCAGCTGATGGTGTCAAAACCCTCCACTGTAATAACATCGTTTTCCCAGAAGTCATTAAAGTAAAATGATACACCCTGAAAGATATTTCTTTGGGCTGAATTCTGTTTGTATATATCTTCCAGAAATTTCTCAGCACACTATGATAACACTCTACCAAACTGGATTGCTCTGATTATATATGCTGAACTCAAAATTTATTCAGAGCAAATTATGTTATTAAATTTCACTATTTCCAGATAAAAGATAAATTGTGCCAAAACAGAAGAAATAAAGAAAGATTTCACTCAATAAAGTATATTAGCCCTTAAAATACCTGACTTCACATTTCAATATCAACAAACAAGATTAATGTAATCTGATTCAATTTCTTTCTTTGAGAAGCTTTACAAAAGGTTTTTTTTTTATTTTTTATTTATTTTAAGTTTTACCAAAGTCATAAGCATTACTGAAAGAAGAGATTTGATTAAAGACTGGGGACAGAGCATATGAGAAAAAACTTTGTATACACCAACCACTCAGTATTTCAAATGCCAGCAGTCTTCTGTTAGGAAACAGCATTGCACTTTCCGATTCTATTTTTCTCAGTCTTTAAAAACATAGAACTTCATTTCCATTTCTATCTCAAAAGCAGCAGCAGAAATAGTTTTCTTACGTAAACAGAATTGTGCAGAAACCTGAGATATATCAATTCTCTCAAGTCAAAACATCAAATGAAATATTAAGTGTTCATGTACATTTTGTCAACTGAACTAAAAAGATGTACTACAGTCTATTAAAACTGATACCAAAACTATTTAAATAAACTACTGGCATTTTTGATGGTGTATTATTTCTGTCCTTAGATACAACTTCTCTGTGAAAGGAAATTATGTTTCTGTACAATACTCCTGAAAACGAAGAGTTCCTTGTTGTATACAGGTTTCCTAATTTCTCTTCAAGTGAAATTGTAGCTTTAGTTCCTATTAATATGGTGGTGACAGAGAAGAAAAAGAAAAATGAAAACAAAGACACCAAAAGAACCCCTCAGCCTACCATAAATATCTAATGACAAAATTAGCTCTACAATGGATTATAATACGCAGTAACATCCTGCTCTTAAGAACAGAGTCAGCAAAGTGCTTCCAGGCACACAGTCATCTGAGAGGAGCAGATGACTTTTGCCATACAGCCATGTCTTTCACTTCACTGGCCATGACAGAGAGATGCCCAGATCAGCCTTTAGCTCTACTCCCCCAAACCAAGTCTACAAGAACTACGTGCTCTCTGCTAAGCACAAGGCTGTAACTCTCCTCGACTTCTCTTGTGACCCCCACCTGCACAACACGGGAACACAAGTACTTTCTAGATACCAATGGGCAGGAAGAATCTGACCTTTAAAAATTGTGATGTTTTAAATTCCATCTCTAGAGATGTGGTTCTGCCTTTGACAGATGTGCGTGTCAACCTGGGAGAGAGAATTTTCCTTTCCTGATTAAACATTGAAGAGCAGACATAGCATTTTGTTATTAAATGATTAAAGATAGATATTAACTGGAAATGACGTATTATGTTACGCCCACATGCTCCTTTATCAATCTTGAACAGGCTAATAGCTAATAGCTTGAACAGTAATAGCTCTAAAAGGAGCATTTCTCAGGGATGCATAACAACATGGTATTCTCTGCAATCAGGGCAATTAGGTAAACATACCCTAGGACAGAACCTAGCAGATCTCAACAGGAATGCATAGTTTAAAGCTAACATATCCATGGCACCATAGCCTAGCCAAAGAATTGGCTCTGTTCACAATACCTCAGTTGGCCTAAGAGGCCAGTATAAAAAAGGAAAATCCCTGTATATTATTCTATGTTAGACATGTACAGTGCTTGAACTCTTATTTAAGTGTTAAATGTGCACACACATTTAAATGAAGAAGAGAGAAAAAAAAATTTCCTGTAAAAAACCAAAATCACTGTCAAACTCTTATCTTTTTTCCCCCCTAAAAGCAGCGTAGGAAGAAATTGAAATTTAGTATCATCTTCTAGGAGGTACACCCCCTCAGTTGCAGCACTATTATTATCAACTATTTTATTCTCTCTTCCTAGCTGCTTACAATCACCTTTTCAGCAAATATAAACATTTGCTGAGGACAGAAGCAAAGCACAGATGTCAAAATTTCTACAGAAACATGCAGATGCTTCTGTTCAATGCCAGCTTCTTTCATCAAACACTCTTCTCTTTCCTGTACTACTGAAATTCTGTTTTCTAAACAATAATAAAACAAAGCCTTTTTGATCTTCACATTTTTGTGCAGCTAATGTTGTCTAAAGGTTCTTTTCCATGACTGTCTTGTATACAAAAAAATTGACATCTAAAATAGTATCTGTGTGGCAAAACACTGCAGACAGCCCCTATAAACATAGCCCACGGCATTTAAGGTAAATTCTGTAGAAGATAATCCCCTTTTAATGTATAACATAGAAAAGAATTCTCAATATCTAAAGCAAATGCTCTGTAGATCAGCTTCATAAATCTTTAAACAGCAGTAAATCTTGTTCTGTCACAAAGAGGTTTTACAAGACCTTTTAAGAAAGCAGAAAGTAATCTCACAAACTGCTGTGCATTTTCAGTATCAGCATAGCTTGTCTTTGACAAACATGTATCTATAATTACAGACTGCATAAAGCATTAAGTACAAAGTTACTACCCTTAGTATGTCAAGGCAGACTGCTTAGTAACACATTCTGCTAAGAGTATCACAACTTCCTTGCTTATTATTGCAGAAAAGTTGCTACTGAAATGCCTTTTCAAGAATTCTGTTTATTAAGTTCTATCCATTAAAGAAAAGCCAGTAGCAAGAATGTACAGATTACATGCAGAATAATAACTGAATTTAAATGATTGTAAATTGTTATTTCAAATCTAGGAAAAAAGAGGTGGCTATTTCCCATTTATTTAACAATGCAATTGCAAATTTTATTTAGATAATCAGTTAGAGGAAGTCATCCAGAAACAAAAACCATCTCTGGATTCTTAAAAACTGCTGTGTCTTTGCTAAAAGCTGAGAAAAACTTGGCACTTCCAACAGTAACTTATCACACGGAAAAAAAAAAAAAAAAGGCAGTAAGATGCACATCTTGGGGAATAATCTTTAAAATTAAAAGTAACAATGTATAATGACCTCAGAAGGTGAGGAGCAATACAGCAATGTCTAGAAATAGCAAACAGCAGTAGGGCAAGGGCAAAATCTCACATAACCTTCTGTACCCACATCTGCTCTAGTTGTTCAAACTTCTTTTATCATCAGTGGAGAGAAACACATAGATCTAGGGTGCAGTCCTTCTGGCCTATGTCAATCATTTAGTCCAAGGTGATTATGAACCATGTGCTAAAAGGGACAGCTTCTCCTCCCCAGTTATAAAGGGAGTATGGCCGACTCGCTCAGATATAGATGTCTAAAGCTAAGGAGATAAATCCAAGCCAGTAGTCTGACATGGTGAAACAGCAGTTATGTTTTTATCATAGCCTGTAATTAGATATTCCAGTACTTCAGCAAAGCACTCCAGGATTAACTTGCAACATCATGACATCAAATGAAAAGATGCCAGATTGGATCCAGTGACCCTTTTAAACCAGTAGCATTGAAATAATCCAAATTTATAAATTACCTGTAACATACAATCAACATATCTGGAGAAAACAGTTTCTATAACTGTTCACAAAATTTGCTTTAGTAGAAACAACACAGGCCTGGTTCTAACTCACACTAGTGTATATCACCACTGACTCCAGGAATTAAGTCAATCTATACAGTATGAAAAAGTTGGTAAAAGGAAATGGAATCGGTATACAGGCACCTTCTGTTCTGCTAAGAAAAATACTGCCAAACGTATTTAAAATGCATACTCTTTCAGTCTAACGACCTTTGAAACTAACTTAAGTGCAGGAAGTTCAAATGTGTGACATACTTAAGTATATACATATAAAGTACTTAATACTTCAGTTTATATACATAAGTACACATATACATATATACTTAAAATATGTTAAATATTTAAAACAAAATGTAAAATATTTAAAGCATTTAAAAATCTGCATCGTGAACGTTAAAAAAAAAAAGTCAAAATCTTTATAACTTCATTATGTTATCTGATTATTTCCAATAAATTTTAAAATCACTGGGCCACATTTATTAAAGTTCATCCTAAATTTCACCCTCTTGAGCCAGATGCATCCATCACTCAAGGGGGTACATTCACTACTATCCCAGACAATCTGATTTAATGCAGTTTCTACATCTCTATCTAAAGAGAAGTTTAGAGAAGATGAGTCTTGACATTCAAGAAGGCACTGGTGTAACTACTTGTTACTTCGAATTAAGGTAAGTTTACTCTACACTGCTCACATACAGATAATTTGGAATTGAAAAGAGCTGTACCAAAACCCATGAACAAGGAGCTGCAGCTTTTGCTGCTATTTGGGAGACACCTGGAGACTCTGTGACCCTGCTACATAAGGGATGTAAAGCATGACAACGTTACATACATTAAAGATGTTCCAATAACAACAAGAAAAAGCTATTATCTGCATTCCATATTTTGGTCTTATTCAGCCTCCCACTGAAAAAAATGGGCCACTGAAAGTCCTGCGGAGTCATTTTTAAAGGAAGTCTGCAATTTCAAGACAACAGAAGATCAGATCAGAGCCTAAGTTCAATTTTTGCATCTACCTTTGTCAAAATTGAAAAAAACATAGCTGAGTCTGTAAAGAAAAAAAGAGATTGGTTCTCACACATGGACTCTTGAATACTGTTGCTTAGAAAAGTTCCCTGTTACTGTGATTTCAAAGTTACTCCTTCAGCAAAATTGCAATGTGAGTCTACAAAACCCTCCCTGCTCACATCACCACACTTTCCATTTGCCCAAGCTGTCACAAGCAGCGATACAGCTCAGGCATGTCTACACAGCCCAGTGTTGACAAACACAAGCTCATTTTCCCTGTACACTCGCTGGCTTTGAACCAGCTGCATTAGTTCGGTAGCTTGCATACAGCTTATCGGCTCAAGCACAGCACTGTGCGAACACAGCTACACAGCTTCCCAGCCAGACATGGCTTGTGTCCAAGGAGCTTGGAGCACAGGCAGAGAGTGCCGATCTGTCTGAAGCACTCTTACCATGGCAGATGGACGGAATTACACACAAAGAAACAGATTGCATTTGCTCCATTTATAGTATGCACTTGTCATGCAGAAGGCAAGATATACTGAGGTCGTCATTAAAGAGATGGTTGCCTACAACTATGACACAGTAAAATACTACCCCTCTTTTCCTATGTATTGAAATCTCAGATTATTGAAAGACACCCCCATGTTGTAAATATTGGCCATAAATGCTTTTTACAGCTCACTGCTGCCCACAGAGGTTGTGGAATCTCCTGCTCTGGAGCTATTCAAAACCCGCCTGGACGCGTTCCTGTCCAACCTGCTCTAGGTGAACCTGCTTTGACAGGGGGGCTGGACTACGTGATCTCTGAAGGTCCCTTCCAAACCCTACTGTTCTGTCATATTTGTATTCCAGTAATTCCAAGTTTATCATTCTATTTGCAAAGTTGAGCATTCACAGGTTCCTTTTTAACATCTGTGTCTTGATCTATCTTGTCTAGATACCACTTTAGATTACAGAAATCTTATCTTTTAAAACATCAATGTATTTTTACTGACAAGCCGCACATTCATATTCCTAGGCTCTTCAAAGAGTCTCTGCTAAAATTCAGACGACATCAGGGCTCTGTGGTATGCTCCAACAGATCACACTCTCAGCTATCAAAGGACTGCTGTGGAAGTCACCTCGATTGGCAGGCTAGATTCAGTCTACTATGCCAAATGCTGGTGTTCAGCTCAGTGAAGCATCCTATCCAGTCCCACCCTCTGACTTGTTCCCTCACTAAGCCTTGCAAGGAATATCGCAGTTTTCCTCAGTAGCCTGTCTGAAGATTCTGTCCATTCAACCACTGTAAAAGAGCAGAAGTGGGTGCAAAGACTTGACCCCCACGTCCTGCAATTACACTGATGATAGGCTGCTTTGTCCCTTAGCTGTATACATATATATCACTGGAAGGTACACAAAATTCTAAAAACGTTCTAAAAACCATAGCATAGGCATTATTCAGGTGAATGCATTGCTACAACTTACTTACTTTTTGTTATTTTGTTGTAATAACTTGCAACTACATGCACAATTGTTTTAGCAGATTTTATTAAAAGTACATCCAGTTTGGCTGGATGCCGTTCCTGAAGTATGTTCCCCCTTCTGCCTCGCCTCCCCACTCCCACCCCCAAGTTCTGAATTATGATATTGTAATTTGCACTGTCTGGTATTTTGACTATGCTACCACTGTAATTTAGGTGGCTTACATGTCAACGTCATATTCTTGCACCAAGCAAGACTGTGAATAACATTGTACAACAATATATTAACTATGCATAATGCCTCCTCTATCCCAAATTTAAAACTTTTTTTTTTTTTTTAAAAAATAGATTAAAAGTCCACATGAATGACTTACTTTTGCGTTCAGAGGGCACACAGACAGTGCACTCCTAAAAAGCTGTTCTTCTGACCTCCACTGACTGCTGCGGAGTGCACAGCGCATAACATTTATCAATAAGATTCCAAGTACTGCCACAGCAAGAATTTTCTTAAGGAAAGAGAGACATGTTAAGAAACAAACCATCCAATTGAAGCACTTCATCATCAACTTTACTGACTGTTTTGATGGTACCTTTTTCTTGGCTTGCTTACTCAAGAGACTAAATCCGTATGTAAACAGAATACAATATCCAATACTGGGGAGGTAGATGACTCTCTCTGCAATAACAAATCCTACTCGGAAGAACAGGTTGCTTGCAGGAAGAAAAGGGATAATAAGAAATCCGAGTCCCAGTGTAAGAATCCTGCAAAGGAGAAACAGATTCTCAAATCAATCGCAAATCTTAACAAAAGCACCTTTTCCACTTACAAACTTTATTTAAACATTGTAGAAGGATGTGCATATGGAACTGGGCATTCAAAAGCAGCCTTTGGGAGTTATATAACCAAATCAAATTAAGTTTCAGTGAGGTTTTGACACTTCACTCCATCAGGCACTTCTAAAATCCTAGCTATAATTCCCAGAAAATCAATGTTCATGCTTCCAAGCCAGAAAATAGCCCCATTACACGTTAATTACACAATTCCTATTTAAAATAAACAGGCAGGAAACGTAATGGTACTGTCTATTTTTGGAACTGTTTTAAAGTATTTATTTTTTGAACTACTAAGTCAGTAACAGGGAAAAAATATAGGTCACTGTAAGGAAGAAACTTAGGTACATGTCCTGCTGAGAGAGTGCTTTCTTTCCCATCAGTGGTAGAATCCACTGTGCTTAACCACCTGAAAGTTGGTCATCTACGTTCCTTCTACAGTTCAGAGAGAGGCACTTGTTGAGGGCAGTTCATCTTCCTTTTTTTAGGTACCTGCGTTAGAATGAGTAATCCTCAGCAGGTAACTGGACTATACAGATCTTAGACAACTGAGATTAGGTACCTTGCTTTTACAGAGCGGATATAAGGGAATATGAATCCCAGGTCTGTGTCAGGTGTTTGTTATAAAGGCCACAGGCATGGTAGTTTTCTACTCGAATATATTACAAATAAATCTCTACAATGCAATGTAGATGTGTCCTCTTACTCTTTTCTTATCCCCAAGAGTCTAGGCCTTCACTTTACTTTTTACGAAAAAACCGTTCAGCAATATATGCTTAGTGTGTTTTTACTATAATGTACAACATCACTTGTAGCAAGAATTCCACCCCTCTCCAGAATGATTTGATCTGTGCAAATGAGTATGGAAGCAGTGGAAAGGAACACACGTGGGATGTTAACATTTGAAGGGATGAGGGGGAAGAGATGAAATTACAGAATACCACAGAAAAGAAAAAGAAAATATTCAGCACTCTGAACAACAGAATGACCTTGTTGTGATTGAATTGTTGAAAAATTTTAGAGAACTGTGAAATTAATTATACATAAAACCCATGGGAACAGACTCTGGAAAGTTAAACAGAAGCCATTAGTGAGACAGAATAGTTATCAATAACTTTTTTGAGTTCCTTTGGGTAAAGTAGAAGTTGTTTCTTCAGTAGGTACTATGGGTCAACATTTGAATTTTTAATTGTGTGGCCACAGCCAGCATTTATACCTCCTTTCAAGGCACATCTCCTCTCTCTTTCATTATTAGAAGATTAAAGGAGACGATGAATTGTAAGAAGCAGGGGCAACAACATACATCAATTCCTACTCTGTTCTGAGCACAGATTACTTTTTACCACCTATAGCGTTAAGGATCTCAAAATGCCATTTCAGGAGAAAAACAGAGCAGCCATCCATACCTCCTCCTCCAACTCTGTTTCCCACTAGTCAGTGTACAGTGATGTGCCCAAATTGGGATAAAATTGTAATGACAGCTATAAATATTTATTTGAACTGCATTTGCTAGACACTGGTTCCAATGAATTGTTAAAATTATCAGTAGTGGATTCAACAAAATAATACTGTACTCAAGTTGGCCAGGCATTTAAAATTCATCACTGTCTCTTACCTTCTCTTATGGCTGTCTTCTGAGCACAGAGCTTGGCATATCAGACCAATTAGGCAGAACCAAAGTGCTGCTAGTGCAATTATCCTCCAGTCGCTGACGGATTTAATGAGGGGTATGCAGCCCATTGACCAATCAAAGCACAGCCACCAGGGACACAACAGCAACCATGCATTCAATGAATAGTAGTAATTATAGTTTATAGCCTGTCAGTCAAAAAGAAAACATACATTTATTTGATACTAAACTTAAGGGCCGGGGGGGTAACTTTAGTTCTTCTCTCTGCTATCATTTCTCTTATCAAAGAACATATTTTATACAATAAAGAGGCCTTAAATACTGTTAGACTACAACTAGTTACATATCCATTTATTTTACAGCCGTGCAATTAATTTTTAATTTTTTTTTAAACATAGCTAGGTGGCTCTCCTATTCAGATCAGGGAAATGCAATTTAGTGCTGTCTAACCACTATCCACACGTAAAAAGAATAATCTCCTACAATGGGAGAAAAAGTCAAAAGACAGCACCCACTGTCTTCGCCCTTCATTCTCCACCTCCAGAAAGAGCCTTAACGCAGTCAGAGATATAATGCCAAGACATACTCCACGTGCACCAGACCAGAATTTTATGCTATTTTCTTCAATGATGAAAGATCAGATGAAAAGTCAAGCACAGAATGTGGAAAAGGGATGAAACCCAGCAAAGCTAAATGCTTGCATGCATGGGAAAAATAGTGAGTAAATGGGAATGTACTTCAACATGTGCAGTGCGTGCTAAATTGAATGCAAGGAATATACAAGGCATACTATTTTAAGAAAAATGGCAGAAAGTCATGACAGCAGCACAAGGGAAAGTGACTCATCACACATCCTGAAATGTAAAGACTGCCCACTTTATTGTTTCCTTGAAGCACAGAAAAGAAAATTCAATTTGATGACAAAGACAAATGTTCTGAGCTGGCCAGAAAAGCAACTTCATAACTTACTCTCACGAACAGACTGTCTGCAAATGAAGCTGGGTTGTCTACTTCAGTGAAAGCAGGTGGCCCTGTGCCCATAATCCTCCAGCGTATATAAAGTATACTGGCCCCTCCAGACATCAGAAGAGTTATCCTGAAAAGCAGCCCCTTTCTTAACAGCCCAGCATTCTACAGGAAAGAAAAAAACCAGCCTCATATAAAAAACATTATTTTACTCTCTTCCCCACTACATTCACATCCTTTTCACCACTATCTTAGAAAGACGAGGCTATTCCTGTGCATTTTTGCTATTAGAGTTGACATTTTTACTATTTTTGCAGTTACACAAAGTTCTCAAACTTTACTATGCTTTCATTGACTAACTGCAAAATATTTTTTGCAAACATTTTCATTTTCTTCTCAATCAAAAAGCTTTTTTTATTCAAGAAGTCTCTCTTGTACAAATCCTCAGTAACTCTATAGCTGATGTAATTTTACACGGCACTTTCTGATAGGGAATTTGAGCAGAATACAGTCTTTAGTATACGGCATATCAAATTGATCTGTGTTTTCTTTTTAAAATGGAGGAAGTTACTTTGTGAACTTTGTTTTAAATAGCTATATCCAGTTGACTGCTTATCATGGAAAGTTTTTGTCCACTTAGGTTTCTTTAGAGGTAAAATTACATGCATACAACAAGAAAACTGCATAGTTAGAAACTGCGAGGAATTAGAAACTGAATGAAAATTTTCACAATCACTGATGTGATAAAAAAGCTAATGACAGGCACCCGAATCACTTTGGTCAGGCTAAAATTACCCAAGATCTACAAAACATTGTGTCTAATCCACATTAACTCAGTTGATTTACATATACACTTTAGGGTCCAAAGAAGGTAATTAACATAAAAAATAGACAAGTGATGTCACAGAAACTAAATTTGACAGACTTTTCCGTTTTTTCCTCTGTGAAGTAAAACACACTTTCTCCAAGCAGACATCAGTTTCATAAATGAAAAGAAAAATACCGTATACTGTACAGGTTCTTCAAGTTTCACCAACAGAGGCTGGAAACAGAATCATCAGTAACTGTAACGATATCCCTGTCACAGCTTTGAGATGCAAATCCAAGTTTCCAACACCCTATTCAGCTAGCAAATGGTAACTTAGATAGGAAATGAAGGACATAGCTTCTCCCTGACCCCCTATATTACAGTGCTGTAGGGCTGTCTTAGAGCTCTCTGAAACCTAATGGCTGAAATTATTCTATGCAGCCCCAACATGTCGTTAGAGAAGCAGAAGATGGAAGACGAACGTTTCTCTGAAATGAGACATCATTTGAGCCACTTCTCTTTCCATTCTACACATCTGAAGATGAAAGTGTCAGTACACTATGGATTTTTACATGGAAGAGTTGGCAAAAAACCCACAGTCATATGATCTCCAATATTAGCTTTCCTTTATTCCTACCTTCTTCCCTTAGTCTGATATGCTTCTATTACCTTTAAAAACCTACCCAATAATCATACATGATCAGTTCTATGACCTCCATGGGAGCTGGCAGACGGGTTATTATTACCTTTTATTGCAAGATGCTGATTAGCAAGCACCACCATAATTATTTAGGAGATCAATATTAGTTATTTCTGAGCGCTTTAAAAAAAAAAAGTACACAGGCATCCAATAGTGCCCTGGCTGAAGATATTTAATCTCTAAAACAATGGATAAGTTAAGTTTAGGAGCAACGTTCAGATGGCTTTTTAATATTTGTAGTTAACAATGGAGCCATCATAAAATATTTAGCTGAATGCCTAAGGATAAAGAAGTTTGCAACGTTGATTTTACATAAGATAGTTTTTGTGCTTAAATGGTTACTTCCAATTTACACATCTCAGTAATCAAAATCATTACAATGAGGATTACAGGAAAACCATTCCTAAAAACTGTTTTTGGAAGAGAATTGTGCTATGAAGGAAAACCATATAATGACAATTTATAACTGCCTTATAACAGATTTAAGTACACAAAACCTCCTATCTCAGGTTTCATTTCATTTAACAGTACATGCAGCTTCTTAAAGGCCAGATTTCACAAATTGCCACAAAACCTCTTAGTAGGCAGAATTTTAAAAGTGGAAGAAGTGTTATGGTATCATCTTTGATTTAGAGTTGACTGAAATCTGGCATGAAACTGAAACCTGTCTCAATCGAAAAGACAAATATCTGCAAGTAAGAGAATTTAAGATCTGCCTTTCAACAAACAAACCAAACCAAAAAAATCTTAGCTACACTTCCATGAAAAGAACAGAATAGATTTCTGGGTAGCAGGAGCTAAAATTAATTACATTTCATGTTTCCTTTACCCAGACAGAACTGTTTAAAAGTCACAATGGAAGCATAACACTTTGAGCTCTTCATGCTTAGAAGAGTAATCCTCCGAAAAGGTTTGACTCTGACACATTCCACAGAATCGAAGAATGGTCTGAGTTGGAAGGGACATCATCTAGTCCGACCAGCCCTGGCATGGACAGGGACATCTTTCACTAGATCAGGTTGCTCAAAGCCTCATTCAACCTGGCCTTGAACACTTCCAATGATGGGACATCCACAACTTCTCTGGGCAACCTGTCCCAGTCACCCTCATTGTAAAGAATTTATTACTGGTCAAACACTGGAACAGCCTTCCTAGAGAGGCATTTGGACAATGCCCTCAATAACATGCTTTAACTTTTAGTCAGCCCTTACGTGGTCATGCAGTTAGACTAGATGATCATTGTAAGTCCCTTCCAGCTAAAAATATTCTATTCTATTCAATCTAAATCTACTCTCTTTCAGTTTAAAACCATTGCCCCTTGTCCTGGCACTTACAGGCCTTGGTAAAAAGTCTATCTCCAGCTTTCCTATAAGTCCCTTTTATATATTGAAAGGCAACAATAAGGTCTCCACAGAGACTCCTCTTCTCCAGGCTGAACAACCGCAACTCTCTCAGACTTTCTTCATAGGAGAGGTGCTGCAGCCCTCTGACCATTTCATTGCCCTCCTCTGGACCCACTCTAACAGGTCCATGTCTTCCATCCACCCCAGAGCTCGATGCAGTACTCCAGGTGGGGTCTCACCAGAGCAGAGTAGAGGGGAAGGATCACCTCCCTTGACCTGCTGGCCACGCTTCTTTTGATGCAGTCCAGGATACAGTTGGCTGCCTGGGCTGCAAGCACACATTGCAGACTCACATCCAATTTTTCATCCACCGGTATCTCCAAGTTCTCAGCAGCTCTTAATCCATTCATCCCCCAGTCTGTACTCATATTTGGGGATTGTCCCTACCCAGGCACAGGACCTTGCACTTGGCCTTGTTAAACTTCATGAGTTTCACACTGGCCCACTTCTCAAGCTTGCCAATGTCCCTCTGGATGGCAGCCCTTCCCTCAACTGCACCACTCGGCTTGGTGTCATCTGCAAACTTACTGAGGGTGCACTCCATTCCACTATCTATGTCATTGATTGTCCTGGTTTTGGCTGGGATAGAGTTAATTTTCTTACTTAAGGATGAGAATAATGTTAATAACACATTAATGTTTTTAGTTGTTGCTAAGCAGTCAAGGACTTTTTCAGCTTCTCATAGAAGTTGAGAGAAAGCATAGACAAGACAACAGACCCAAGCCGGCCAGTGGAATATTCCATACCATAGACTCCATGCTGAGTATATAAATGGGGTTGGTTGGTGGGAGGGATCCGTGATCGCTGCTTGGGACAGGCTGGGCAATCAATCACCGGGTGGTGAGCAGACCACTGCATCACTCATTGTGTATATTCTTTATTTGTTACTATATTTTTTTTCCCTCTTCTGTTACTGTTCTAGTAAACTGTCTTTATCTCAACCCGCAAGGCTTTTCTCCCTCGTCTCCCTATCCCACTGTGGGCGGGGAGTGTGAGTGAACGGCTGCATGGTGTTTAGTTGCTGGCTGGGGTTAAACCACTACATCGATCATGACATTAAATAGTACTGGTCTGAGTATGGACACCACTCATTACAGTTTCCACTTGGACATTGAGCCATTGACTGTAATTCTTTGGATGCAGACATCCAGACAATTCCTTATCTATCTAACAGTCCATCAGTCAAACCTGTATCTCTCCATTTTAGTGGCAAAAATGTTGTGGGGGACCACATCAAAGGCATTACAGAAATCCAGGCAGATGACATCAGCACCTCTTCTTTTGTACACTGATGCAGTCAGTCCTTCGTAGAAGGCCACTTGATTAGTCAGGCATGATCTGCCCTTAGTTAAGCCATCTTGGCTGTCTCTAATCACATCCCTGTCTTTCATATGTTTTGACGTAACTTCCAGGATGATCTGTTCCATGATCTTACCAGGCTCTGATGGGAGGCAGACTGGCCACTTATTCCTAGGGTCCTCCTTATTAGCTTTTATTTCTATCACTTTAATTCTGAACTGGCTCTGCTTTAGTCCCCTACAGCTCTAGACTCTTTCCTTGTGATATGCTACTTGACATTACTCTGATTATACAGCAAAATTCTCCAGCATTCCTATTTGCTGCCTGAAATACTCCTGCAGCCCTCACTTAGTTGTTCTTGGTCAAATCTACTGTTTCAGTTCTGGAGATTCCACTTTCACTGATTTCCCTCTGAAGCTCCTCACTTCACTCTTTGTAAAGGAATTTAAAAGCTCCATAGGACTTTTGGTACTCGGAAACATGAGCAAGACTTCTCTGCAGTTAAACTGCTGATCGATGCAAAGTACAATGAATACTCCTTTGCCTTGCTGAAGCTTGGATGGGAGAGGCAAGTGATTTAGCTGCTGAACAGTAGTGACATTCTAGTAGGCTGTTGGTCTATTTGGCTGCTATCAATCATTCACCTGTGGCTGACTGTTTCTGTGATTTGCTTGCCAGTGCAAATACTAGGTGCCAGATTCCACTTAAGCCAATACTAGATAAAGCAATATCAACAAAAGTAAGAAATTCAATCCTTAGCGACTACCAGTGCTTACATATTTTTTCTTTTAAACTCCAAAGTTACTAGGAACTGTCTCCTGTTTGGTAATTTGTATTCTGAAAAGAAAACAGTGTAATATTTCAGTGGGATTAGCAAAGCAGACATAACATTTTTTAATGTACTTTTTCAAATGTCTATCTCATTTGAAAATCTGAATAAATCTCTCTCTCTTTACTCTAACCAGACTGTGTTAAACAACCACTTCAGGTGTATAGCTACTGACCCTGAAGAACCTGTTGCATCAAGCAGTCAGCTCTTCCACACCATATTGTTAACATACTGTTGAGAGAAGTGTGGAATGGATTTCACAACACAGTGCAATTCTAATGCTATCCCATTACTACTCATGTTGCTTCAAAGATGTCACAGCACATTGCCTTACTAGGTTGACTGAAAATACCTCTATTTTTTTTAATTCTTAACAACAAAACTGTCAGAAGTTGTATCTTTGTCTTTTAGTACATTACTGTCTGAATGGCCAGAATGAACAAACCCTCTGAGGACTCACCTCCAATGACTTGTCCTTATGTAGTAACTTTTGAACAAGGTCCAGAATGTTTAGCTTGTTAATCACCAGTGCATCAAACACTGCATTCAAACCCTAAGCAACCAAGAGAAACATAAGAGCATAAAATGGAGCAGCTAACCACAGATATTTTTTAAAAATACATCTTAAATTCCACTTCTACTATGAGTTCTTGTACATCTTAATTCTGATTCCAAACAAGTAGAGAAACACGTTGGTAGCAATGATGACAGAACGGTCGATTAAGAACCTGAGCTCAGATGAGTAGAATATCATGTTACTGTAACAGGGATTCTCCGGAATAACCCTTCAGGGAATACCATGTATCAGCAAGCTAGACCCCATATGCATGGTCACAACAGTATTCTGCTCTCCATCTTCTTCCCAAATGTTCTACAGTGTAAATGTTGCAGTCAAAAGGTAAGGCTTCTGTCAGTAAGGTAGAGTTTCTTTAAGCCTTCTACTTGTTTTTTGCTTTGGTTATCCTTTGACTGTTGGGTTTCAGACATACTATTTTTAAAGGGTACATAAATTGTAAAAAACAAACACGTAGAAAGATTTAACAGAGGTATCAGACTTGCTTGTCTTGCAACTAAACCAATATACACAGTGGAAGTTGCTGAAAAAAATAATTAAAGTTCTATGTGACATTAGCTGCTACACATAAAACTAGAGCATATTCTGTGCTTTGCAGCACTACACTTGCACATACTACCCCCAAGCAACCAACCAAAATATATCCAGGGGCAATTCTGTTGAGGTGACCAGCAAAATCCAACTTTAACATTTTCCCTTCAATGTTTCAGCAATCACCAACCACAACAATCCTTGAATATTTAGCCTATATCCTAATAACTTTGGAAGTTACCTCAATGTTCTAAAGACTGAATGGAAAAAAGACAGTAAAAATAGTTCCAATAGGGCAAAGTTAGGACACTGGGAGGCCACAAGTGTCCTTCTGACAGTCAAAGGGAGAAGACAGAAGAAGATAGGTTAGAGAGTGGTGTGGTTCCACGTAGAAAGGCCACCTGGCAGTTAAAAGGCTTCGGCTCACTTGCTTG